ATTTGTCATCAAGCAGCCACAGCCACAATGAATTCAGCCCGGTCTCTGCAAGCAGCACCCCCTCCGGTGCTGGGGGCTAGCACCCACGGGGCCAGGCAGGGGCCCAGCTGCCGCGGGCAGGGCAGGGCCCAGGGAGGGGACGCGTGGCTGAGCAGGGTACTGCCGGCAGCGGGAAGGTGCGTGGAGGTCGTCTGGAGCTGTGGGGACAGAGAGCCGCGGTGGGATGCAGGTGGCCCTGGACTGTTCGTGCCAACCTCAGGGGTCCCTGCCCAGTGCCACAGAAGACTGGAGAGGAGCAAAGCTCCTCTGTCCTCTTCACCCCAGTGCTCCTTCCCCTACCAGGGACCCCATCATCGATGCAGAGGGATCCGGCTCCAGCAGCATCCGTCCCCCTGCCCTGCCCTGGGGGGCTCTGCTGGGAGCAGCCCCGCAGGCAGCCCTGGCAAAACCCACAGCTCCCTCCAGCCCTGGGAGCACACGGGGATGGCAAGAGCCACTTTCGCTCCAAGCTGGTGGATTTGCTCCAGGATCAAAGCCAAAGGATGAGACGTAGGGCGTGGGGTGCCGATAGCAGCTTCCCCTCCCCAAGTCCCATCCCGCTGCGCTCGGCCAGCTGCGAGCACAGGCGCCGGCAGCTGCGGCGGGGCGGAGGCAGCGGGGAAGATGCGCAAAGCCCTGGTACCTTGTTTTTCCGGGCAGGAAAGGGAGATAGGAGGGTCTGTGAAGGCAGGAGCTGCGGGGTCAGCATGGGAGCTGAGGGGGGATCCTGGGGCTTGCCGGAGCTGAGGGGGGGATCCTGGGGCTTGCCAGACCTACTGGGCTTTGAGAAGTGGCTCTTGGGGAGGAACAGAGCAGCCAAGCTGACAGCCCCAAAGTTTCAGCTGGTTTTAATACTGTCAGAGACACCCCAGAGCGGGGCCACCCCTGTCCCACCCGGGCTCCCTCAGCACTTGCCGAAGCGAACCCGCCGCCAGCCTGGTCTCACAGCTGCTTCGCATCCCACGACGCGGGGAAGCATCGCCACCAGCGCCACTGCCCAGACACCCTGCCCGTGCTCCCACGTGCTGGTGCCGAGTCTTGCTTGTCTCCTACTGCTAATCCTGAGGGCTCGAGCATGGCAAAAGGTTTCCCTCCACCCCACAGAAAGGGAAAAAAATCAGGTTACAAAAAGGGTCAGTGGTCCAGCTCTCCGCCTACTGTATTTGGGTGGTTGAACCACCACTTTTCCCAGCTTTTCTCCACACCCTCATGGCTACAAACCATCTTTCTCCACTACCAGGTGGCTGCCCCCCCAGTCACCTTTTTGCTCCCGGGGCGAGGGGGCTCCAAACACCCCCAA